CGTCTTTCAGATCAAAGGATGGAAGCCAAATTAGAACATACAGAGGTCAATCCTAAGGAGTTCTACTCAGAAGTAAGGCCCATTGTACTTAGTGGGGCTTACTCCCGGGAAAGTGTTTTTAGGTTTGCCATTACTGAACACTTTTTTACAAATGCTGGTATCATCGGCCTACCTACTCAGGTCAAGGTCATGAGCCTTCAGTTTTAAAGATGATTTTGTTACCACTGACTTAAGTAAGTACTTATATGTCCCCCACACACACCAGGCAAATCAGCAAATGGATGACTTTACTCCGTTTACTGTAGGGATTTGTATTTTAAAAGCATAATTATTAGAAGGGCAATGCCATCGTTCACATTTTTATCCCACCTTTTCTACAAGGCAGTGTTGACGGTTCATCTCTTCTCCGTTTCATCCTCTATAACCCTGTGAGGGAGGTTCGGCTACAAGGCCTATGGCTGCGGTGGCAGCAACTCATCTATAATGGTCTCCCCTGCTCTGCCCTGCTTATTCCATCATGACTGATCTCCTCAACCACCCATCTGCTCTGTCCCATTCCATCTATGGCCACCCACAATCTGGATCCCTTCGGATTCAGACACAATCAAATGCTGAGAAGGAGAAGGAGAGGAAGAGGAAGAGGAGGCGGTAATTGGATTTATACCCTGCCCTTCACTACCCAAAGGAGTCTCAGAGCAGTTTACAATCCCTTTCCCTTCCCCTCCCCACAACAGACACCCTGTGAGGTAGGTGGGGCTGAGAGAACTCTCTCGAAAACTGCTCTTGAGAGAACAGCTCTGAGAGAACTTGTGACAGACCCAAGGTCACACCAGCACCTGCATGTAGAGGAGTGGGGAATCAAACCTGGTTCTTCCAGATTAAAGTCCGTGCTCCTAACCACTACACCAAACTGGCTCTCCATCATCTTAGAGATGTTGTACTCATTAGCTAATGATTTTATAGATTTTAAAGCTGTATTATATTTTAACTATGATGCATGTTTTAACCATGTTCTAACTTCCCCTGATGCTGGGAAAGATTGAAGGTCAAAGAAGACGGGGACGGCAAAGGATGAGATGGTTAGACAGTGTCATAGATGCAACGAACATGAAATTGAGCAAACTTCAGAGGATGGCGGGAGACAGGAGGGCCTGGCGGGAGCTGGTCCATGGGGTCGGGAAGAGTCGGACTCGACTGTGCGACTGAACAACAACAACAACAACAACAACCCACCCTGAGCCTGCTTAATAAATGACTGGCCCAAGAATGTTAGCGTTGAGAGGGGATTTGAACCCAGTCCTAGACCATCGCTACAAAGAAACCCTGCACTGTTTAAATATATCATGCTTAACTTGAACGTTAAGGCCCAATGAAATCACGAGGACTTATTCTAAGTAAGCATTCACAGGACTGAGCCGGCGAGCTTTTACATGAACATAACGGAGACACTATTTTTAAAGCAGAAATACTGAATGAACCTTTGAAGATTACCATTAACATCTGATAGATTTCAGACCCAGGACATTTCATCTGAACATCACAGTCCCAGCGATACAACATGTACACTTTTCTGTGTGTAAAGGTGTTTGGGCCTCCCTCACTCCCTTCAGGAAGAAGGCAGCTGCCCTCTGGCTTGCCACAGAATTCCACCTCCTTGACTCAATTCAGTGGGGAGAGTCATAAGTTCTGGGGAGACAGGAGACACAACTGAAAGCAAAGAATTCCTTGTGGTACAGTTCTAACACTGATTGCTGTCTTTAACAATGAGCAATCTGGGTTGAGTCAGAGTTCATTTGTAGAATATGCTTTCCACTCTAGGCAAATAACACTTTTTTGGCGGGGAGGGGGTGTCACTGAGAAAACAGGGACAGGATTAAACCCTCTTTCTCCCAGCACAGTGGCCTCTATCAAACTGGCAATGCCCTGCAAGCCAGTTTGGTGCGGTATTTAAGAGCATGGATTCTAATCTGGAGAACCGGGTTTGATTCCCCACTCCTCCACATGCAGCTGCTGGCGTGACCTTGGTCAGTCCCAGTTCTCTCAGAGCTCTTTCAGCCCCACCTACCTCACAGGGTGTCTGTTGTGAGGAGAGGAAGGAGACTGTAAACCGCTCTGAGACTCCAAGTGAATGGTGGAGTATAAATCCAACTCTTCTTCTTCAGCTGCTTTTAACTTCTTTTTAAAAATGCCTGCAGGGATTTCCCGTCAAGGTCTCCTAAACAGCATATGAGTTTGATGGATAATTATATTTTATCCTTAGGAGATATTCCTGCGTTATCCAGCAGCAGTCCCACCTGGGACAAACTACAAGCTTTTCTGCAAGTGAAAGGTGAAGGAAGGAGCCCCTTTTGGTGGTAGAAAAGGCTATGCCAAGGTTTGTGGGACTCGTGTGAACAACAGCCACACAGGACGGTGGTTACAGTGAGAAGGGGAATTGGAAGAGATGGAGTGGAAAAATTGGTGGATCCAACCCGTTATATTAATGTATTATGGCCGTACTTTGACTTTAGTACTTTCTTTATTACCATGTGCTCCTCAAAGATCTTTTAAGGAGACCATTAGAATTAGCAGTGATCAGGTCTGATAAGTATTTAGTTGTGTGTGCGTTTGTGTGTGTATATTAACTGCTGTCAAGTCACTTTTGATTTCTGGCAGCCCTATGAATGAATGACTTCCAAGCTGTCCTATTGTTAACAGCTTTGCTCAGGTCTTGCCAACTGAGGGCTGTGGCTTCCTTGATTGACTCAATCCATCTCATGCTGGGTCTTCCTTTTTTCCTGCCACCTTCAACTTTTTCCTAGCATTGTTGTCTTTTCCAGTGAGTATTTACTAGATATCTACATGTATTTACTTGATATCTACAGACGCATTATTTACTTATAAGCCACACGCATTTACTAGATATCTACATAATTTTGTGCCCTAACCCGGATGTCCCACACTGGCCATCTCAGCAGATCTTGTCAGATTTCAGAGGCTACGCATGGTCAGCCCTGGTTAGTCCTTAGATGGGAGACCACCAAGGAATTCCAGGGTTGCTAAGCAGAGGCAAGCAATGGCAAACCACCTCTGTTCATCTCTTGCCTTGGAAACCGTAAGGGGTCACCATAAGTTGACTATGACTTGACAGCACTTAACACACATAATTTCTTGCTCACAGGACCAAGATTACAAACCTATGAAGGCATTTGGTCAACATTTTAAAAAACTGGCTAGAGCAAAGAACAGAATGCTCCAAGCTTAGTGTTAAGGGCATTGGCTATAAATGTAATAAAATACGGTAGTGATGGGACGTGCCGTGAAGTCTCAGATAACTTATGGCAACTTCGTATGGGTTTCAAGGCAAAAGACAACCAGAGGTGGTATGCCTCTGCATCTCATCCCTTGAGTACCTAGATTGTCTCCCATCCAAATACTAACCAAGGCCGACCCTGCTTAGCTTCCAAGATCTGATGAGGTTGGGCTAATCTGGGCTATCCAGGTGAGGACAATAAAATAAACCATACATATTTTAAAAATACAGCTGCCATCCGATAGACTTTTCTCATCATTTCACAAGTCAAACGATACTGAGAATACACACTAGTACTTGGACGGAATTGTACACACGTGTCAACCGGTCTTGCTTTTTGCCTGACGCCAACGGACCACACTGGAAGCAGTCCTCCACATAATGAAAATGGATCAATCTAACAATAAAATCCTAAAGGGAGTTAAACCTTTCTAAACCCATTGACTTAGCTGGACTTAGAAGGGGTGTAACTCTGGACTGCAAAAAGATCAAATCAGTCAATCCTAAAAGAAATCAACCCTGACTGTTCCCTGGAAGGCCAGATAATGAAACTGAAGCTCAAATACTTTGGCCACCAAATGAGAAGGGAGCACTCACTGGAGAAGACCCTGATGCTGGGGAAGATTGAAGGTCAAAGAAGACGGGGACGGCAAAGGATGAGATGGTTAGACAGTGTCATCGATGCAACGAACATGAAATTGAGCAAACTTCAGAGGACGACGGAAGACAGGAAGGCCTGGCGGGAGATGATCCATGGGGTCGCGAAGAGTCGGACTCGACTGTGCGACTGAACAACAACAAAACTCTGGATTGCACTCAGATTCAGGTGAGTAGCCGTGTTGGTCTGAAGCAACAAAATAGAGTTCGAGTCCAGTGGCACCTTTAAGACCAACAAAGTTTAATTCATGCACATGAAAGCTTCTACCCAGAATTAAACTGTGTTGGTTTTAAGGGTGCCACTGGACTCATATTCTGGACTGCACTGTAAAAGAAGTCAGTGAGCTTTGAGCACCAACTATATATGCACGATATATCACCTGACAAATAGCTCAGTCTCTTAAAACTTTTTTTTCTAAGAGAATTTTTATACATTTGGGCTGCAATCCGATGCATGCTTACCAGGGAGTAAGTCCCATCAGAGTAAGCGGTGCTTACCTCTGGGCAAACATACATAGGGTCATACTGACTGAGTAGTTTTTATTATTTTTAATGCAATGTGGTTGCAGATGGATTCCAAGTTGCTCTACATGTTCAGCTAAAACTTGCCAAGATGAGTCGAGATTATATTCCTAGCATACAAACAGAACCCACCGAAGAAAGCCTGAAAACTGACCGCATTTGAAGTGCCATTCCAGAACATGATCAAGAGACTTCGGGGCTTTCGGAAAAGAAATCCGTTTCAGTGCGCCCTTCCCAAACATGAAAATCCCACATAAAACTCAAGTGAAAGTCGATGACCTGTCTTGTTGGACTTTTTAAAAACTGCCATTAAAGTCTCTGAAAGTTTACTCCAGCCTGCAACTAGAGTCCCTAAAGCACTGCAAAACACCACCGCTGGCAGGCAGAGTGAGTTAAACTTCAGACGCCTGCTGTCGAAAACCCCCTCCTTTGCTTTCCCGTCTAAAAACCAAGTGAGCGGAAAAGATGCCGAGGGAAGTGGAGAAGTTCAGCGTTAACTTTCTCTGGAGGAAGGATGAGTATGACTTACCGAAAGATAGGTCTTTGGAGATGCTTTTTCTTAATTGTGACACAATCATCCATTTAAATGGGGAGGGGGGGGTTGCCTCTTCCTGAAAACAGTTCCAGAGAAAATCTGGGAGCAGGAAACTTGTCCTTAGCTACTGAGCTGTCGAGAGCACGCCGATTTTTTTCTTGGTGCTGGGGAAAACCTCCCTCCCTCTCTCTGACTGTCGAGCAAACTGGGGCCATAGAAGCCGCATCACGTCTGAGCGATCCCAAAACATGTAGGCTGTGCAGGCGCTTGGGAGTCAAGTTGACTGAAGCAGGGAAAGTGCGCTGGGATCCTCTCGGCTGCGCAAGGAAAACAGGAAACTTTGCCAAGGGCTAAGACAGGTACAAAAAAGGGGGGGGGGGAGAGAAAAGTTTGCCAGATGACTCCAGTCCCTTCTGACAGGCCGGTCAAAGTCTTCAGCAGAGTCCCCCTCTCTCTGCGAAGCGAGCGGTTTGGGAGCTCTGCTTCGAGCGCTGCCCTTTCTTCAAAATAAAAGTTTTCCAGCTGTTTCGGCAATCCCACGCCAGGGCTTTTAGAAAGTTGTCCCGCTGGAGGAGCTCGACTGAAATGAACAGAGACAGCCAGTTTGGGTCCTCGTGCCTGGCTTCCCCTCAAGACGCGGCTGTAATGACTCCGGGGCTGATGTGTGACTCGAAGTATGCATGTTCGACCGCTGCTCGTAATTTTTGGCACTCGCACAGCCTCATAACCCACAGTTGGCCGAAAGACAATGGGATGTTTGCAGCTGCTGAGACTTGGACTGCAAAAAAAGCGGAGCAACTCTACAGGAGCTAGGGGGGAAAGACGGGGGTTCACTGGCAGAATTTTCGGTCAGCCACACTTCATGTTGGGGCAAAACTGCTCCCCAACACATTTAATCCAAGAAACCGAATCAGCTCTGTGGCAGTTTCTTAGGCTTTCACACATGCTAAATAATGCAGTTTCAATCCACTTCAGCGACTGCTTGAAAGTGGATTTTGCCATTTCACATAGTAAAATCCAGTTGCAAAGTGGATTGAAAGTGCATTATTTAGTGTGTGTAAAAGCGCCCCTTAAGCTTGGAGTCAATGAGACAGATTTGAGTCAGTAGGACTCTGGACCATACCACTCAAAATGACAGTAGGGGACTGAATGGCAACCAGCAGGAGCAGAAGAGGGTTGCAATGGGGGGATGATGTCACACCAAACCATAGAGTTTTGTCCAAATCCTAGAGCATCATGTCGACATAATGTCAGTGGTACAGCATCACATCCAGTTATTTGCCAGAAGTGATGTCACACTGTTGGTGTGGTGCCCCCCCCTTTGTAAAATTTTCCCCTGCTGGACCTCAGAAGGACAGTGGACAACAGACGGGGGGGGCTGAATCCTTCAGTGCTCTCGTAAATAAATAATAAATGTGTAATAGAGATGTGTAGAGACCCTGATGCTGGGAAAGATTGAAGGTCAAAGAAGACGGGGACGGCAAAGGATGAGATGGTTAGACCGTGTCATAGATGCAACGAACATGAAGTTGAGCAAACTTCAGAGGACAGCGGAAGACAGGAGGGCCTGGCATGATCTGGTCCATGGGGTCGCGAAGAGTCGGACTCGACTGTGCGACTGAACAACAACAACAATTCCTGCATCAAATAAATGAATACATCAGAGATAAAGGCCCTGTTCATACGAGCCCATTTGGGCCGGGAGCGGGACGGAACTGGGGCGGAGCAAACAGGCGCGATCTCACCTCAACATCTGGGGAGCGTGCCGTCTCCGTCCCTGATCCGTCCCAACAGCCCATACTGCGCCGTAAAAAAGAACCACCTCTCTAGGTGGTTGCATCCATTGGTGCGGCTCAGGCCGGGCTGTGGGATCGGCGGCGTGTCCTTGCGCCGCCGCATCCCGGCCCCCGGCCGTACTGCGCATGCCCGAGCATGCGCAGTTCAGCAGCCTCCCCCCTCCCCTCGGGCTTTTCCTCCCCGGCATCTGATCGTGCCGGGGAGTGATGCGCCGCGGCTAGGGGATCCGTGGGATCCCGCCGCGGCGTCTCAAGTTTGGAGCGGCTCTGAGTAGCCGCGTTTCAGCCGTCCCGTGTGCCAGGGGCCAACGTTTAATGGGTTTTCCCCCAGAGATGTGCTAGCTTATTATAGGAAAGGAAGACTTTTTATACCTCTTCTCAGACTGTCCAGCCTACCAGTTAAGATCTTTTTCGCCCCATACTTGTCCCGGGATAAACGGATGCTGTTATAACCAGGGCTGAATGCGAGGTATTGTGTCACGAGTTGAAATCTGATAAAACCAGGGATGAGATCCGAGTGCGGAAAGGACCATCGTCAGAATCAAGGCTTTTTTTCAGTGGTGGCATCTCATCTTTGGAATGCCTTGCCCCCTGAGGTTCACTTATACGTACTATCACTTTGAACTAAGGTGTACCTTTGCAAGCTGTCCTATGGTCTACTTGTAACTTGAGGACTCTTTTGTGACTATCATTGCCATTAATTTATGGGGTGCCAGGAATCGGTCATCCTCCCAGTAGCACATTCTTCTGAGTGTTCCCAGTAGCCAATAGGAATGCAACTAAAACTCCTCCCTCCCCCCAAGATGGTGAGCACAGCAAGCAGTTTGGAAGGAGGCTGACAACAGTTACTAAGCTTTCCAGCACATGTGATGAAGCGTTGTGATCATATGAAACGGATTCATCTGAGCTCCTTATCCTTACAACAACGGGCTCCTAACTTTTGACTGGCAAGCAGGATGTCAGCCAAAATGGCAGGTGTTCAGGCATTTCTAGAAGCATTTATAGTGAGTAGAGATAAAGGTTGACATCCTGAATGACTGAACATGGGGGTGCTTCTGGACTCCATGTTGTCTCTGGACAAACAAGTGTTAGAAGTTTCCCAAAATGCCTTTTACCCCATCTGAGGCCTGCACTTGTTCTGAGAAAAGGCCAACCTTGCCACGGTTCCACATGTCCTCGTAACACCCAGCTTCGACTACTGAAACATACTGTACACGGGGCGGCCCTTGAAAATAGTTCAGAAATAGCACAAAAATCTAGGGGCCTTAGTAGCATGTGCTTCTGTGGTCATATTTAATCCATGTTATGCCATTTACATCAGCTTCCAGTTTGTTTCCAGGCCCCATACAAGGTGCTGTTTTTTGCCCTTTCATGCCTTGGGTCTTGGGTACCTTAAAATGGTCTCCATCTGTATTGTCCAACTCAGGACTTGAGAAAGGGCCTTCCATGGGAACTGGCCTTAACTAAAGTTTAGTGAGCTGGGACCCAAGAGAGGGACTTTTCCATTGCTGTCCTTTACCAATACAATGCCCTCTCAGTGAGAGTGAGAAAGACTACATTCCATAGGGCCTTTCCAATGGCCTTAAAGACTAATGTGTTTCAGAGGACCCTTCAATTTAGACTGGGCTGTTAAGCTATAATGGCTTATGTTGGGGGGGGGGCAGCTGTGGCTTAGTGGTAGGGCATCTGCTTGGCATGCAGAAGGTCCTAGGTTCAATCCCTGGTATCACCAGTTAAAAGATATGGCAGTAAGTGATGAGAAAGACCTCCTCTTCCTGAGACCCTGGAGAGCCACTGCCAGTCTGAGTAGACAATACTGACTTTGATGAGCCAAGGGTCTGATGCAGTACAAGGCAGTTCCATGTGTTCTTGTGTTATATATTGGTGTTGCTGCGAGGGAGGGGTTTCCCTGCTATATATTATTGTTTTAAAGACTTCTGTATTTGCATTATTAAATCGGTCGACAGGTATGGTCGAAACGTGGTTAAAAGAATCTTATAAATAGATAAATGGTATTGCAGTGCCTATGCATTAAATTTGCGACCGGAGCTTTCTTGCAGCAGTTCTAATAGTCCAGATTAGCCCAATCTTGCCACAGCTCGGAAGCTAAGCATGGGCGGTACTTGGATGGGAGATTACAGTGGAAGACTGGGACTTCTGTGCACAGGCAGGGAATGGCAAACAATCTCTATCAGCCTCTGTTAGACAGCGCTTTCCACCCCTGCTGCCATCAGCAGCTGAACTTGTACTTGACCACCACAGCGGGAACAGGCTGCATTACTTCAAGTGGAAGAAGAAGAGGAGATTGGAATTATATCCCGCCCTTCACTACCCAAAGGAGTCTCAGAGCAGTTTACAATCTCCTTTCCCTTCCCCTCCCCACAACAGATACCCTATGAGGAAGGTGGGGCTGAGAGAGCTCTTTTGAGAACTGCTCTTGAGAGAACAGCTCTGAGAGAACTCTTGACTGACCCAAGGTCGCACCAGCAGCTGCATGTGGAGAAGTAGGGAATCGAACCCAGTTTTCCCAGATTAGAGTCCGTACTCTTAACCACTATACCAAACTGGCTTTCAAGTAAAGTGTGAGGTTGAAGATTATTTCTTGCATCAACGTCAGGTCACGTCTCTCTTCTTAATTCTTCTTAGACAGTTTTCTCAATTCCCATTGCACCATTCACACAGGAAAGGAATGTGACCTGAAGTGTGCTCTTCAGGCTGACTACTTATGTGGAATGACTAAAAACTGACCCATCACATCCATTTTATGTACCAGCAGAACATTCTGCTGCCTCTTCTCTTTAATGGACAGAGGCACAATACCCTTACAGTTTCACCCAGAAATGGAAACAGGGGGGGATTTTTTTTAATGTGGTAAGGCACTGCCAGAAAATTCGCACACTTTATAGTCCCTCCTGGAAAGGAAATGTATCTTCATAACAACTGGATAGTTGCCTGGAAATATACCCTATAATTTTAACTAAGTGGAAAGGGGGCGGGGGGGGAGAGACTCGGGAGATTACCATCATTTTGGCCACGGCAAAATATGAAGAAATTATCCTGATGATGTGTTAAGAGACGCCTGCTTCCATTCTCCAAAACAACGGAACAAATGCAAGGAGATGACTCCTGCGTTCGTATTTGCCAGCAGTTATGTGGCCTTCCTCCCGAAACGATCGCGTAAAAATAATTCTAGCTTTAAGTGTGATTTGTGGGTCTGAGGCCGCCGCTGCGGAAGTACCTTCAAACCACTTGGCTTGTATTTATTCGGAAACAAATAAAAGAGGCCGCTCTCGATTAAGTGGTTGGAGGTTCTAATTTTAAGGAAATGATTCACCATCCACTTTCACTGAAGCAGGGTAGAACTACACTGCCTCTGGGGAGACTAAATAGTTCTATTAAGGAGGAAACTCCCAGCCCAAGAAGATGGGGAGGTGGTGCTTGCAGGGCTTAACCTGCCATAATCTTTGGCTAAAAGAAAATTGTACGTAGAGCTCCATCGGTTTTATTTCAGCACCGGGGAGAGGCTCGTACCAGACTGCTCTCCACATT